TGTAAACTTCCGACATAACAATTTTTGGAGTGAAATCCCATCATTACTTACAAATGTCATGCAACTTAACCTTCTTGATCTTTCAAATAATCAGCTTTTTGGTCCCATTCCTTTTCAAGGGAGTACGTTTTCAATACTATCTCACCTAGACCTATCTCATAACTCACTTAACAAATCAATGTCACCTTGAGTTTTTAGTATACCTTCATTATAGGTCTTGATTCTCAATTGCAACTTCCTTCAAGATCAAATAAATCAATTCCATCAGAAATCATTAACAATCGTGGATTTGGCACACAATAATTTGATCTTTCAAACAACAATCTGTCTTTGAGAATCAATTTTGATGCTGACTTCACATTCCCCAAACTAAAACATTTGATTTTGTCTTCTTGTAACTTGAGTGAATTCCCCAGTTTCCTAAGACATTCAAATGATCTTCAAGTTCTTGACCCTTCTGTTAACAATTTAAGTGGGAAGATTCCAAACTATCTCCAAATGTTGATGAGCAAAAGTCTTTCCATGTTGAGTTTGCATGCCAGTAACTTTGATGGAGATATACCATTTAGCTTTCCAGAGGGTTATGGATTGCAAAGTCTCAACTTGTATGGAAATAAAATGGAAGGCTTGTTGCCAAGATCTTTGATGAATTGTGGCTTGCTAGAGGTTATAAACTTCAAAGACAACAAGATAGCAAATCTAAGATTGCTGGTTTTAAGGTCAAATAAATTCCATGGTTTTGTAGTTAGCACTAAAGAACGTCCATCTTTTCCCAAATTACGAATCCTGGACCTCTCCAATAATGACTTTTTCGGTCCTTTGCCTGTTCCATACATGGAAAATTTCAAAGCAATAGTGGATCCTCATAGAGATGACAATTTTTCTCAATACATGATGACCCACGGCACTCATATAGGGCTATGGCTTCTACCACTAAAGAGGTCATTTGGCTTCACAACTTATTACAAAATTTTGGTATTCGCCAATCTCGCTCCACACCACTTTACTACGATAATCAGGCAGCTCGCCACATTGTTGCCAATCCTGTCTTTCATGAAAGGACAAAACATTTGGAAATTGATTGTCATTTGGTGCATGAGAAATTTCAAGCTGGTATTGTTTCTGCACATTACCAATCTCTTCCTCTCATCAACCAACTGATATTTTCACAAAGGCATTGGGCAAGGACAGTTTTTATTTGATGCGGGACAAGCTGGGCATTCATGACCTTCATGCACCAGCTTGAGGGGGAGAGTAAACAGTATCTGGTATAAAGTATCTGGTATAAACAGTTTTCAGTAGAAATCTCTCGGAATCAGGAGCATATTTGTGTACAGTTATAACTCTCCTAGACTTTAGGCACAAGGTTAGTTAAGTTATGATTTTGATATAGTTCTTTTGTGTATATATATATGTACAGTGACATACATTATGAATAGAGAATATAAATTAATTCAGCAATTTACACCATAAACACTGGTTGTCACAATGAAAGGATTAACGGTGAGATGCAGAGAATTTTAAGCATATTCAACTAGCATTGATCTCTCAAATAATCAAACAAATGAAATTGAGAACTAGAATAAAATAAAATAAAAATAAAAAGACAAAAACCTGCAAGTGCCCTCGACATCTTTTATGAGCTTGGAAACGAGGTTCTCACGGTGGTTGCGGCCGATGTGGCGCGGATGCAGCTGCATGTTGCGCTCCAATACTATGTGGAAAAATATGTTTGAGAGTGAAGAATGAGAGTTCCTCTGTCTATGGATTCTGGGTTCAGCAAGGAGGAAGAGAAAAAGTTAGGGCTTTTAGAAGGTAAGTCTCAATTGATGAGAAATCTATGTAATTCAATTCCAACATGAAATGTTAACTCTCTTGTTCTTGATTGACTTACGCTGGTTAAGAGAAAGCTGCTTACAAATTGAAGATGCAGAAGACAGAGTAAGATCATTCGACAGCTAAGTTGCAGGGGAAGAGAGAATATAGACGGTGATCACCTCAAACGACGGCGAAGCCAGGCTCAGCTCACTTTGTGGAGAAAGAAGACGAGAAAGACAGTTGATCTGGGTTTTATATGTATCTTAAAGAAGCGTTTAAACCCTCATTTTTCATCCCCCAACTTCCAATGCCATTGGTCTCCTTCACTTGTAAAATCTCCCTTTTAGCCTTTAAACTTTTATTATTTTCACAAGAGGCCGTGTGATTGCTTATTTTATTTTCTATAGTAAATATTATTTGGAGAGGGGTGAAAATGTAAGAGGCTTGTATGTAAATATTTTGCTTACTTGAAAATTTTAAGAATAAAGTTAAATTTATTTAGGTATTTCAAGTAAAATACTCCTTAAAACTAGATAATATTTGTGCCTTAGCAATAATATTATCATGAAATAAGTACATTTTTTAATTTTTCTAAATATTATATTAGTTTTTGGAGTTTTATGTTTTTCAAATCTAAGAATACTATTAAAGTGTGTTAGTGAAATGAAATTACTAAAATAACATTAATGAAATAACATAAGAAGAGTTTTGTTAAATATATTTTAGTAAATTTATATGTTAAATTGTACTATAATTTACTTTTATAATTCATTTATAAATAAAGATTGCAAGACCAAGAATCTTATAAATTAAATATGTTATTTTACTCAAATAAAAAAGTTCCTCCATGTTCCTCACTTTCACACACTTTTATTTTTTTTAAATATTTGTAAGTAAGAAAAGTGTCTCAAATTAAATAATTTTATAAGTATTATATAATTATAAAATATTATTATAAAATTATAGTATCATAGGATTGACATGTTATGTATCTTTTTCTGCTGCACTAGTAGATCTTTAGCACCCAATGTAGCACAAACTAAGCATTAGATAAATGTTCAAATGAGAAAAATGAATTATAGGGAGATCGTATGTGAAAAAATCACTTGAGCTTCTTACCTAAGTAATGTACCTATCTTACAATGGTATATGGTTGAGTTCTAAACCTCTTAATAAACATGTAGTCATTATAATTTATTTTTAATGGCTCGTGATGCTTGTGGTTATCTTGGTCAATGGTACATGTGGTAATTTAATAGTTTAATGCTTAATGTTATTAACAATTGGTATGTGATTAATGCAATGCTTGTATATAGCTAATTTGTGATTATTATTTTTGAATGATAAAAATAGTGAATAAATATGTGCATGAAAAAATGGGTTTATAAAAAATTTGAGAACCTAACTGAAAAAAACTAAAGAAGAGAGTTACCCATTTATGAAAATGAAAATGATGCATTTGAATGACCTAGAGAAGATTTTGTGGGTGGTGTTGTAGAGAAAAGAGATTAAATTTTTTGCACCCACTGAACCACAAACTAGGCCTTCGGTAAAAAGAAAAGGTTGAAAAAAGGACTACGTGCATAATGTAGGGTCTAGTATACATGGAAGGGATAAGACTTGGCCTAAAAAGCTTAAAATCTCCAATGAGGATAGCTAAGTCCTAATTAGAATTTTGCAGGCAATAATTTTTAGAGACTGATATCAAGTAATATTTCTTGAAAAATGGGTTCACATGAGAAAAATGAATCATAAAGAAATCGTTTAAGAAGGTATTTCACTCAAGTTTCTTGCTCACACATCCATCCCTAAAGCGTAAATGTAAGCATCTTACAACATTACATGCTTGAGATCTAAAACTCTTAGTAAACTTGTAGCTTGTTTTGAGTGGTGTGCTTGAGTTGTAGGGGCACTATTGATGGATTTTATTTACATGGGTATCATAGTGCAGTTGTTCCTGTAAATTTTGGATGCGCAATTTTCTAACTTAATCATGAAAACTAGGATCATGCACAATGCCATATTATATCAATTATATGAAAAACTCAGCTTTTGGATCATTATGTGTGATGGAATTCCTGTATCCTTTTATATGTTATAGTTCAAGATTTAATACACTATTGAATTTAGAATATGAATTGTAACTTACTAAATAAAGTTTCAAGACTTAGTTATTTTTATTATGCATAATAATACGTTGTTGCTCAAAATAAATTTTCATCATCTCTATTATTACTTATCTCCAAACTGATGTAGTATCCCATCCAATTGATGACATAAACCTTATAGAATCAAGCCAACTCGCCTTGTTATTAACACACCCCATGAGAGTGGGATTTTATATATTGCAGTTGACTGTAACTTTGAAGCAAAGCAAAAGAAAAGATTTTCAGTTTT